AGGTGGAGGAATAGGATGATGATGAGGGGCATGAGAAGGAAGAGGAGGAGGAGAACGAGGGGGAGTAGGATGCTGATGAGGCGTAGGAGAAGGAACAGGAGGAGAACGTGCGAAGGAGGTTCAAGAGAACGTAACGAGCAGAACCAAGAGATGGATTAGAAGGATCACAAGGAGGAGTCGGAGGAGGAGAATTTCTAGAGGATGAGGACGGAACAGCAGGATGAAGATAGATGCTGTCGCTGCTGACGACGACGATGATGATGATGCTGAGGTTGATAGGGATGATGATGATGATGACGACGATGCTGGTGCTGACGGTGGTGGTGGTGATAATGATGATGGCCTTGGTGTTCATGATTATGATGATGAAGATGATGCTGCGGATGGTGATGATGATCGTGATAGTGGTGATGGTGCTGATGATGACGACGATGCTGATGCTGATGGTCATGATGATGATACTGCTGCTGATGATGTTAATGTCGGTACTGGCGACGATGGTGGTGCCGACGACGACGACGACGGCGATGATGATGATGCTGATGATGATGATGATGATGATGATGATGATGATGATGATGATGATGATCAGCATCATGTTGCTGGCGATGGCGATAGTGGTACGTATGCTGGTTATGTTGATGACGATCATGCCGATGTTGATGCTGATGATACTGATTGTGATGATGGTGCCCAAGTTGACGATGCTGATCATGGCGATGGTAATCGGGATGATGTTGATTGGGATGCTCATGATGCTGATTATCAGTAAGATCATGATGACTTGGAGGCTGATGCAGATGATGACGACGGTGGTGGTGATGATGATCATGATGATGCTGATGATGATGGCACTGATGATGATGATGATGCTGATAAAGATGGAGATGATGAACATGATGATGATGATGCTGATGATCATGATGATGATGCTGACCATCAGGATGCTGCTGGTGATGATGATGATGATGCTATTGCTGTTCTCGTTGCTGATGGTGTTGCTATTGTTTATATTGTTTTTGTTCGTGTTGCTGTTGTCGTTGTTGTTGATTGTGTTGTTGGCCGTGTTGTTGCCGTTGTTGTTGGTCGTGTTGGTGTCGTTGTTGTGGTTTTAATTGTTGGTGTTGGTGTTGCTGTCGTTGCCGTTGTCATGGTCGATTTCGTTGTCGTTCTTGTTGTTGATGTGAAAACGAACTCTAGGAAGCTGACTGGACACGGAACGGGCCCCTTATGTTTCCAGAGGTCGGGGCCCGGAAACGAACTCCCCAAAACGCTCTCTTTCTTGAGTGGTCGCCTTCCCCTAACGTGTCCCCATCCACCTCCTCCTCCTCCTCCTCCTCCTCCTCCTCCTCCTCTCCCTTCTTCTCCTCCTCTCCCTTCTCCTCCTCCTCCTCCTCCTCCTCCCCCCTCCTCCTCCTCCTCCTCCTCCTCTCTCCTCCTCCTCCTCCTCCTCCCTCCTCCTCCTCCTCTCTCCTCCTCCTCCTCCTCCTCCTCCTCCTCCTCCTCCTCTCCTCCTCTCCTCCTCCTCCCTCCTTCCCCTCCTTCCTCGTCCTCCCCTGCCAGCGAGGACCCAGTACTACAGGTGAGGCGGCCCCCCAAGGCGACAACGTTGTCAACGTTGTCAACGTTGGGCCTCCCACCCCTGCCAGCGAGGACCCAGAGCTCCAGGTGAGGCGGCCCCCCAATGCGCTAAGGTTGTCAACGTTGTGCCCCCCCTGCCATCGAGGACCCAGGGCTCCAGGTGAGGCGGCCCCCCAAGGCGCCAACGCTGTCAACGTTGTCAACGTTGGGCCCCCCCCCCCTGCCAGCGAGGACCCAGGGCCCCAGGTGAGGCGGCCCCCCAAGGCGCTAACGTTGTCAACGTTGTCAACGTTGGGCCTCATCCCTCCCCCTCCCTCGTCAGCCAGAGCACAAGGCGGCCCCCCAAGGCGCCAACGTTGTCAACGTTGTCAACGTTGTCAACGTTGGGCCTCCACCCCCTGCCAGCAAGATCCCAGAGCTTCCGGACCGGAAGCTCCCGGAACTCCTGGAGCTCCGTGAGCTCCCGGAGCTCCAGGTCCGGAGCTCCCAGAGTTCTTTTTTCCTTTTCAGGGACTGATGATTCCTTGCGTTCGCCGTCATTGCGTCGACTGTTGAGGGACTGAGGCTTGCTTGCGTCAGACAGGCGGTCCCCAAAGGCGTCAACGTTGTCAACGTTGGCCCCTTGGGGGGTCGCCTCACCTGGAGCCCTGGGTCCTCGCTGGCAGGGGGGGAGGCCCAACGTTGACAACGTTGACAACGTTGGCGCCTTGGGGGGCCGCCTCACCTGGAGCCCTGGGTCCTCGCTGGCAGGGGGAGCCTAACGTTGACAACGTTGACAACCTTAGCGCCTTGGGGGGCCGTCCCACCTAGAGCTCTGGGTCCTCGCTGGCAGGGGGGGGAGGCCCAACGTTGACAACGTTGACAACGTTGACGCCCTTGGGGGCCGTCTGTCTGACGCAAGCAAGCCTCAGTCTCTATGCGTGAGGCTGAACAACACAAACAACACATTGACGCAAGCGAGCCTCAGTCCCTGAAAAAGAACTCCGGGAGCTCCGAAACTCCCGGAGCTGGCGGAGTTCCCAGTGCGGGAGCTCCGGGTCCTCCGCTGGCAGGGGGAGGGAGGCCCAACGTTGACAACGATGACAACGTTGACAACGTTGGCGCCTTGGGGGGCCACCTCACCTGGAGCTCTGGAGCTCTGGTCCTCGCTGGCAGGGGGGGGGGCCAACGTTGACAACGTTAACAACGTTGGCGCCTTGGGGGGCCGCCTCACCTGGAGCTCTGGGTCCTCGCTGGCTGGGGGGGGAGGCCCAACGTTGACAACGTTGACAACGTTAGCCCCTTGGGGGGCCGTCTGTCTGACACAAGCAATCCTCAATCCTTATGCGTGAGGCTGAACAACACATTGACGCAAGCAAGCCTCAGTCAATGAAAAAGAACTCCGGGAGCTCTGGACCTGGAGCTCTGGAAGCTCCCGGAGCTCGCGGAGTTCCCGGTGCGGGAGCTCCGGGTCCTCCGCTGGCAGGGGGGGGAGGCCCAACGTTGACAACGATGACAACGTTGACAACGTTGGCGCCTTGGGGGGGCCGCCCAACGTTAAGGTCTGGGTCCTCGCTGGCAGGGGGGGGAGGCCCAACGTTGACAACGTTCACAACGTTGACAACGTGGGGGTCTGCCTCACCTGGAGACCTGGGTCCTCGCTGGCAAGGGGGGGGCCCAAAGTTGACAACGTTGGTAACGTTAGCCCCTTGCGGGGCGCCTCACCTTCAGCCCTGGGTCCTCACTGGCAGGGGGTGAGGGGACGAGCTCGGAGGGGGCCCAACGTTGACAACGTTGACAACGTTGACAACGTTGACAACGTTGGCGCATTGGGGGGCCGCCTCACCTGGAGCTCTGGGTCCTCGCTGGCAGGGAGGGACCCAACGTTGGCAACGTTGACAACGTTGACAACGTTGGCGCCTTGGGGGGCCGCCTTGTGCTCTGGCTGACGAGGGAGGGGGAGGGATGAGGCCCAACGTTGACAACGTTGACAACGTTGGCGCCTTGGGGGGCCGTCCCACCTGGAGCTCTGGGATCCCGCTGGCAGCAGGAGGGGAAGGAGGGAGGCCCAACGTTGACAACGTTGACAACGTTGACGCGCTACGGGATGGGAGTGGCGCCGTGGCGAGTGTGGCGAGTGTCAAAAGCCTCAAGGCGCACAGCGTCCCTTTCTCAGGAGGAAGAGGAGGAGGAGGAGGAGGAGGAGGAGGAGGAGGAGGAGGAGAGGAGGAGGGAGGAGGCGGAGGAGGCGGAGGAGGCGGAGGAGGCGGAGGAGGTGGAGGAGGCGGAGGAGGAGGAGGAGGAGGAGGAGGAGGAGGAGGAGGGGGAGGGGGAGGGGGGGGGGGGGGGGGGGGGGGGAGGAGGAGGGAGGAGGAGGAGGAGGAGGAGGAGGAGGAGGAGGAGGAGGAGGAGGAGGAGGAGGAGGAGGAGGAGGAGGAGGAGGAGGAGGAGGAGGAGGAGGAGGAGGAGGAGAAGGAGGAGGAGGAGGCGGAGGAGGCGGAGGAGGAGGAGAGGAGGAGGAGGAGGAGGAGGAGGACGAGGAGGAGGAGGAGGAGGAAGAGGAGGAGGAGGAGGGGAGGAGGAGGAAGAGGAGGAGGAGGAGGAGGAGGAGGAGGAAAATAAGGAGGAGGAGGAGGAAGAGGAGGAGGAGGAGGAGGAGGAGGAGGAGGAGGAGGAGGAGGAGGAGGAGGAGGAGAAGGACGATGATTACTAGGGGCCCTTCCCCCTACATTCCCTTCCTCAATTCTATTCCAGCTCACTGCATGAGGCTTCGAGAAGGAACACACGAATACAAGTTGTCTATGTACCTTCCGAGGAGACACGAGGGTCGTTCACGTCGGTAAGCTTCAAGGTATAGCTCATGGCCCAGGCAATTCTAGACACCGCTTGCTAAAGGGCGCCACGTTTGCCGTGGTCTAGCCACGTGGCAGCGTTCTCAAAGTCTTACTTTCGGCGGGAACAGCATTTTTGAAAACGTGGCGCCCTCATCCGTTTAAGTGTTGGTACTTGCTGGCGTCGGGATCATACGTTTGAAGACGTCTCAGGTGAAACGCCTGGCCCGCCAGACCGACACGTCTGGCGGTGCGAGACGCATGTATCTATGATAAAGGGGAGTAGATGAGACGGGGGATTGGGATGATGAGGAGGAGGACGGATGGATGGACAGAGGGGGGAGGGAAGGATGGAAAGGCAGTGAGGAGGAGGAGGAGGACGAGGAGGAGGAGGAGGAGGAGGAGGAGGAGGAGGAGGAGGAGAGCGAGGCAGAGAGGAGGGGGAGGACGGGGGAGGAGCACGTGTCTCGGGAAGAGACTGAGGAGGACGGGTTTTTGAATGCTTCAGGGTTCTCGGGGAGTGGAGGATGAGGATGAGGATGAGGATTAGGATGAGGAGGAGGATGGGGAGGAGGAGGGTCTCGAGCTGCGCTGCAGGGACGGGGACAGGAGCAGATTGCGCTGGCGTTCGCCTTGGTCATGAACAAGGCGTGGCCCTCCCTGGCTCGTGCTCCTGCGCCCTCCTGCTCCTCTTCCTCCCCCTCCTTGGGGGAGAGGAGGGGGACAGCGGACAATGAGTTGGCGCTCGGACCGAAGTCTCCGCATGTAGCAGCCTCCACTGCCGATGACCTTTGCGATGCAGGGCCACGCGACCCGCCACCTGCTGCCCGCTTCCTCCCGGAAGGCGGCACAGCTCGGGCGCGGGAGCGCGAGATGAAGGCGTGGACCGGGAGCCGAAGGCAGTGTGGCTTCGGTGCGCGTGCAGGTGTAGTGCCCTGCTCGCGCACAGTCTGGTGCCATGCGTATATGCTTGGCGGACAGCAGCACTTAGGGAGCGCGCGTGGCTCGTACGCCAGTTCGAAGAAGGGAGGAGGCGGAAGAGGAGTTCGTGGAGGACCTCGACAGGAGGCGGAGGAGGAGTAGGAGGAGGCAGTTGTTTTCTCGAGGCTGCATGCAAGAACAACAGGACACGAACCACGGCCTAACTTTCTTTAACGATGTCGAACTTTCTAAAGTTCCCCTACTCCCTCCTCCTCCATCGTCCCTCCTCCTTTTCCTTGCTCCCTCCCTCCCTCCTCCTGACTCTTCCCACTCGCTCACCCGAGCCTTTCCTTCCACAGGGTCGGAGTGGCCTGGGAAGTTGTCAATCTTGCGGGCGGTGGGGAAGGGCAGACGCCACTCCGCTTCTCATTCATTGGCGAGCGTCGATCTTGCGCCTTCTTGTCTTGCGCCGTCGTGAACTGGTCCGACCTCCTCCTCGGAGGTCGAGGAGGTCGCCCTGTATGTGTCCCTCGTGAGGGCTTCTACCTATGTGGTCGGCCTTTGTAGACTCGCCCTGAGTTTGCGGCGATCCATCACCACCCACCAAATCACCCCAACCCAGACCGAAGGCCCCAATTTGCCCTCCACTCCCAGTGGGGGGGGGAGCGTCGTGGAACATAGAAAGAGCGCAGGTGGAACCCGTACCCCCCCAGCCCGAAATGTGGGTCTCCGGGTTAGGTTGGGGTGGCCTGGTGGGTAGTCAATCCATCCCGTCGGTGCTCCTCCGCTCCTCCCTCCTGCTTCCTCCCGCCTTCCCTCTTCTCTCCCGCCCCCCTTCCCGCTCCGCCGTCCCGTCTCCTGCCTCCTGCCTCTTGCCTCCCTGCAGCATCCACCCCCCTCTTCTCCCTCCTCCTCTCTTCCTCCCTTTCGGCTTGACCACCAGAGAGACTTTCGAGCACCAGGAAAGTATTGATATTGGAGGGTCTTCAGGCCCTGGGGGGCGCTGCTCGTTCGAGACTTCGCCAGCGTGTCGGGCAGACACCGTTTCGATACTTGTCTCTGGGTGCTCGAAATCGTTTCTGGGATGTGGTCCGTGGGTGCGACGGGAACAGCAGAACCCTTTACGCCTACTCGCTCTGCGTGCTGCCCTCCTCTCTCCCCCGAAGATGGCCGGGGAGTCGCCCGCCCCCCCTCCTTTCCGCGTATTCTTTTCCACACGCCGGACGTCCAACGTTGGACCGTTCGTACGGCTACGCCGATCCCGGAGCGTTCTCGGTGTCTCGAACGGTGCTGCCGCTGCAGCGTGGGCCTCGTTTCAGGGCCAGCGCTCTGCTCCTCTCGTTCAGAACGGCGCTCTCGCCCTGGCGTGGGCCACTTCTCTGGATCCGAGGCCTTCTTCATTGCTGCCGCCCCCTCCTTTCTCCTCCTCCGCCTGCCCCTGGTCTTCCTGCTCACCCCGCTCCGTCCACTCCAGCTCCTGCTGCTGCTGCTGCTGCTGTCCGTCCTCGTTCTCCTCCCTCCTCCTCCTCCTCCTCCTCCTCCTCCTCCTCCTCCTCCTCCTCCTCTTCCTCCTCTTCATCTTCCAATGTACGCAGCTCCTCTCCTCCCATAGCGCATGACACGATGTGATCCTTGTGGAATTCCAGGTCCGCGCTATGACACGCGTCCGCGGATAGAGAAAGACAGCGCCATGGGACGGGATGGGTGGGAGGGGCAGATTGTCAGATACGGCGCGAGCTCGCCTAGCTTGCCGCGCCCCCCCTCTCCATTCATCCTCCTCCCTCCTTCGGCGGCGAGCGAGGGGGGGAAACGAGACGGAGAAAGGCCTTCTCAGAAGGCGGCGGGACTTCTCAGAAGCCCTCGCGCCATCTAAGAAGTTTGTTTTGTCTTCGTGCAAGCCTTAGAAATTTCTGCGAAGGCCGGGGGACTTCCGAACCTTCTGAGAAGGCCTTCTCCTTCTCACTTCCCCACCTCGCTCGCCGCCGACTCCTCCCCTCCTCTCCGTCTCTCCGTCCCTCCGTCCCTCCTCCCTTCTTCCCTCCGCTCCGTCCGATTCGATTCGATTCGACTTGCGATTCCGACGTGGGTTCCGATTTCTCACTGGAGGCATACTAGCCTGCCGATGTCCGCCGATTCGATTTCCGCCGATCCGATTCATGTCGGTCGCCGATCAGACTTTTCGATTCGATTCTGTGCTCACCTGAGGAGGGAGGGGAGTAGGAACAGCAGCAGTTGTGGTGGCAGGTCGCAGCCATAGTATTGCGAACCATTATATCACAAGAAATCGCGTTGTATTGTAGTAGGATGAGGTGGAGTATGAGTAGGACGACGAAGGACGATGAGCATGGGGGACGGATGGACGTATCATGAGGGGGAGAGGCTAATGATGGAGGTAGGGAGGGATCGCCGAGGAGAAGCAAGGAAACATAGAGGGATGGAGGAGGATGAGGACGATAACAGGTGATCGGGAAGGTGAAGGAGGAGGAGTAGGATAATAATGAGAAGCAAGAGGAACGGACGAGGGCGATAGGACGATCGGTGGATGATCGCTGTCAGCTTGCCACCAAGGCCTACACTGGGATGCAGGATGTGAACCAGACAATTTGCATCCCGCAGGACAAGGCGCCGCATTCGAAGGAGTCGTACCATACTAGTTTTCGTCCTATTCATTTCCATCGTCGTCGTCGTCGTCGTCGTCGTCGTCGTCGTCGTCGTCATCTTCGTCAGCGTCGTCGACGTCGTCGTCGTCGTCGTTTCAGTAGGTGTAGTCGTCGTCTCATGATTCACGAGGCTTGCGCCATTCCGCCGACCCCCACAACAGTGATTTCGTCAAGATTCGTGTCACTGTGCCTGGCCTGTGGGTCAAGAGCCTCGGGGATGTACATGGTGGTCTCCTGGAGTGCCTCTCAGGGGCCTCTTAGAGGCCTCCAGGGGGCATCTGATTGGCTTTTTGGGGCCTCTGGGGTGCCTCTTGGGAGCCTCTTCCGTACCTCTTGGATGCATCTCTGGGCCTCTTGGAGGTGCCTCGGAGGTCACTGGGGGGCTCTTGGGGCCATCGCGGCGGGAAAGGCTCGAGATTTCAGTTCATATTGCCCCTCTTTTGCCCGTCTTGGGGCCCTCCTGGGCCGTCTTAGGGGACCCTGGTGCTGTCGTGGGGCCCTCCTCTCTCTTTGGGGCCTCATGGGCTGTCTTGGGACGATATTGGGAGCTCCTTAGGCCGTAGTGGACGCGCGCGCGTGTGTGTGTGTGTGTGTGTGTGTGTGTGTGTGTGTGTGTCTGTGTGTGTGTGTGTGTGTGTGTCTGTGTGTGTGTGTGTGTGTGTGTGTGTGTGTATGTGTGCACGTGCGTGCGTGCGTGCGTGCGTGCGTGCGTGCGTGCGTGCGTGCGTGCGTGCGTGCGGGCGTGTGTGTGTGTGTGTGTGTGTGTGTGTGTGTGTGTGTGTGTGTGTTAGTTGTTTGTCCTAAACGGTTGGACCCAGCCCTCCCCAGTCGGCTTGGGTTTCCTCTTTCTCCCTGCCCTTGCCTCTGCTTGCTCCTCTCTCTCCTCTCCTGCTCAAGCCTTCGGGGCTCAAAGCCCTGGAGCCGACCTCAGGAGGTCTGGGCGCCCCTCGGGCGCCCGGAAGCGCGCGTGCGATGGCCGCCTGGCGCCTGGCGCCGGTGGGCCCCACACGCGGGCTGGTCGCGCTGGCTGCCGGCGCGACCGCCTACGACTGGCGCGGGCCGCTCAGCACCGCTGCGGCCCGTGCCGGGTGGGCCAGCCCAGCCGAGGCCCGCGAGGCCCTGCCTGGGCGCACCGTGCCGTACTACGATGACTCCGAGTACGGCGCGGAGACCGACGAGCTCGAGGAGGGAGGTGAGGCTGCAGGCAGCACCCAGGCGCCGCCCGACAGCAGGCCGCCGGGCGCGCCTCCCCCACCTCCCACCCACGCCGCCGGAGGAGTCGACAACAGCAGCAACGCCACCGGCGGCCTTCGTGACGGGGAGTCATGGATTGGCGGCTGGGGCGTTTGGGCGCTGGGATGGAGGCCTCTGGGTGAAGGCACCTGGGCCTGGCGCCTGAGCGGCATGGGCGGGGACGCGTGCGAGAAGCTGGACAGCCTCGAGAGCGCCTTCTCGACCCACGCCGAGACGGACTGGCTGACCAAGGACGGCGGCTGGTTCTTCTACGCCCTCGAGAAGTTGGGCTTGACGGTCTTCGGAGCTGCCTGGCCCGTCGTGGCGTGGACGTTCATCTTCCTGGCCTTCCTCGCGGTGCACGCTTTCCTCACCCACATTTGTCGGACGCTGTTGGCCCCATGCGCCGCTGCCCTCTGGCTGATCGGTCTTCTGGCGCGGTGCTTCAAGTGCCGCCGGCGAGAGCCTGGCGATGCAGCTGCCGAAAGGTACCTGCCGCCGGCTCCGCCTGCCCTTACCCAAATCCACTGGATGGGGCCAGAGACCGGACCCGCTACGACCACCGAATACTACAGCAAGAAGGTGAAGGGTCGTGGGGCAGGGAGGAGGCCCAACGACGTGTTGGTCAAAATTGACGACCATGTTGCCCGCGTGAGGATCGACCTTGCGGAGCCCAAGCGGATCGACCGGACGGGCCTCTGGGTGGATTACCTGAGCGTGAAAGGGGCCAGTTCACGTGCACTCGAGGGCCGTTCGATCCACCTGTGCCGCAACATGACCTGTCGGGATCGGCCTGGGGAAATCCATTGCAAAGAGTACGCCGCGCTGGACTCCGAGGCGATCGTGGACATCGGCTCCCGTGCCAAGTTCACCTCCTGCCGCGGCATCTTCCTACTCTGGCGAGCCTTTACCGATCTGGGGCGCGGCACATTGAGGGTCATTGTGTTCGCGTGTTGCATCTTGTCCTGTGGTTGCTCTTTCTGCTGCCGGCGACGCCGCCGTCGCAAGACAGGCGCTGCGGAGCCAGGCGTTGCAGGAAGTGTCGCAGAAGTCCTCGATCAGGAATCTGAGTCAGAGGTGGAGGCCGAAGACAAGCCATGTGAGGCAGTTCGGGTGGGCATTGTACTTCGTGGAGGCGCCCGCCCCTTGGCCCCGGACGGCTGCCGTGGCGCCGCAGAGGCCGAGCCAACCACCCTGCTCATGGAAGACGGACGAGCCTCGGATCTCCCGCCACCCAGCGACGGGAGGAATCCGTTCGCCCATCTTTGTGCTCATCATTCGCAGGTCTACCGGGCCTCTCGGTATATCGTGACAAGTGCTCCCGGGTGACCTGCTGCAGCCAGGCGGTCGGCAACGCTGAGGGCGTGCCACTTTGTCTCCTTCATCTGGGCGGGGAGGCGGGCAGAGCAGCGCAGGCCGCTGCTGCAACCCCGAACCGCGGGCTGTTCTCAGGCTTGAGGCGTCGGGTGGTCCGCGGCCGCAGCCCGCGGGCGCGCGAGCCGGGGGCCCCTGCAGCAGCAGCCCCTCCAGCAGACGGAGTTCGAGGACTTGAGAGTCACCGTGGGCAGGCAGCGCCGGGCCGGTCCCCTCGCGACGCGCCATCTACACCGCGGGGCCCGCCTGCCAGCGTTCGGTTTGAGGCATCACTTTCACCGAGGGTGCCTCTGCCGCGGAATGCCGGCCCCGCCCCGAGCGAGGAGGTCGACCAAAGCGATCACCTGGTGCTGCGAGTTCGGGTGCAGTGGGCAGCCGGCCCGCAGTGGATCGTGTTCTTGGGCAAGTCAAGGCCCGGGGAAGGACCGCTGGGGGGCGGCAGCATGACCGTGGTGGACGTAGAGGAGCCGCGCAGTAAGGACCGCCCCCCGGGAGACTTCGAGCAAATCTGCTTCACACTCAAGTCTGCGGGGATCGAGCACGCCCCTGCCACCGGCGACCAGGGCAAGCTCCCCGCCGGCTACCTCGAGGGGCTCTTGCACCGCCCGCCGTTCGGGGCGGAGGAGCTGGGGATCAGCGTGCACGGCGTCGTCGCGAGCAAATTCGTGTGGGAGAAGCTGCACCCCTGGAACGGAGTCCCCGTGGGCGGGAAGGCCAAGAGGGTCAGCCGCCCCCAATGGGCCCAGCTCCGTGCTCGAGGCGACCTACTTGTGTGCCAGCATCCAGCCGGCGCCTCAGGCGACGCCAGTGGCGTGCCGCAGCCCATCTCGGACGGGATGGACGCGCAGCTCAAGAAGCACTGGGCGAGGCTCGACCGCAGCAGCTCACCCAAGCCACCCTTTGGCGTTTGGTGGGGTCTGGGCGAGGAACGCGATCGGGCCCCCTCCGCCCCCCACCGCTCCTCCCGCAGCCCTGGGAAGGCCCCCGAAGAAGAGAGCGCCGGGGAGGCCATGCTGGGGTTGTACCTCGCAGCTCATGGAGGGGGGTCAGATGACGCTTCCGCGCTGCAGAGCGTTGCGGCCGGGTACGACGAGGACATCACCGTCGTCCTGGAGCATCTCATCAAGTACACTCAGCGCCTCATGCGCAACAGCGGAGCCGAAGAGCAATCCAAGTATCAGACACATGTTGACCGATGGGAAAGAATGCTGGAGCGCGTTCGGGCCGAGAGGAACGAGAGCGCGAGCCCGCCGCTTGCCAGCGGCCTCCTGAAGCTCGACGCCGAGCGCCGCCCCGACACCAGCCGGGAGCCCAGCCAGCCCGTGGCCCCCCCTGGGCTAGACCCACACCGCCCCTACCGCCGCCGGCCACCCCGCCTGGCGTGCGAGTACGGGGAGCCTCGCGCCTTACCCCTCCGGGCCTGATGCCCGGCCTCGTCCCGAACCTCGGGCAGATGTTCACCAACCGAGGTGCCTGCGGGCAGGGGGGACTGGTCAAGCCCCCAGGGCAGCCCGATCGAAGGTGCGCCGCAGGAGCTGGAGAGAGCGACCCCTCGGCTGCCATCACCACCTACGCGCAATTTCTCCAGAATGGCCAAGAGCAGCAACACTTTGACAACATGCGGTTGCTGCAGGCAGTGGACAGCCTACGCAGGTCTGGTGAGGAGGAGAAGGTGGCGCAGCGGGGAACCCTCGGCGCCATCGGGCGAGCCGAGGAGCTGGACGTGTACCTGGCCCGAGGCTGCGACACCCTTGACGTGGAGGTCTGCGGCGCACTGACCGGGCGGGAGCTGTTCCACGGTCTCAAGCGCGCCTGCGAGCGTGCTAAGCACGTGATGCAGGCGGTGAACTGGCCCACCACGGTGACGAACAGGATGGCATGCGGCATCGCCGCCTTTTGCTGGGGAGGTCGGGACCACAAGGACCTGGCCGAGTGGTCGGTTTCCGTGGCGGACTTCCCCCACTGCAAGGCGGAGGTGTTCGACGCTTACACCGTGCCCACTTCGTGCAAGCTCGAGCCGCGCCCTCGGCACCCAGTCGTCTTCTCCCAGTGGGTGAGGCAGGCCGAGAACGCCATTGCCGTCTTCGGGCTGGTCTACGGGCGTATGCACGAACCGGAGAGGCGCCGGGCCTTGGAGACCCTGCGTCTTGCTTGCGAAGAGGACGACGTGGCCTTCCCCGCGGACTACGTGTGCAGCCTCTGGGAGGAGCTCGCCGCGACCTGGTGCGAACAGCTTCGGGAGAAGCGGAGGGAGGTATGTCGCATCCTGGGCCTCACCAATCCGCGCAGGGAGGACATCAAGACCGTCGCCCTCGCCCCGACGGGGCCGACAGGGAGTGCTTGGTTAACGTTCCC